TGTACTTTCAATTCGCTGTTCCCACCAATTCTTCTACAAGATTCCAAAGGTCCCCCCACCTCTCACTCACTCTCTCTCTCTCTCTCTCGGACACACACACACACTCACTCTCACTCTCTCTCTCTCTCTCTCTCTCCACAAATTTGGGCAACCATTAACAAGAATAAAAATTTTAAAAATTCAATTGAGGCAATTGTGAATTTTTTAGGGGTTTATTGGGAGCACTTTTAGAATTCTTAAAATTCAATTGACTTCACCACTACGGAATGGTCACTATTACACGCACATATAATCGTAACATATGTCACGTGTAAATAACCGTGAATGTCCAATGCTGCGCGATAATGTTAAAGAATTTAAATATGATTCTATATTTTTATATGTGTGTGCATCCATTTATTTTGAATGGAGCTTGAAATTCTATGATTTGTTTCCTCATATTGTGGGGTGTATATATTGTTGGAAATGGAGTATACAATATATAAAGTTTGGACGAAATTTTAAGTAGGTCTCATTAAGAATTTTTTATGAATATATAGGTGGGCGCGTTTCTCTTTGTAAGGAGATGATCCTGATATATTTATTCTCTCAAATTAGTTTTCGGGTAAATGAGAAATTAGTTCCAAAGTAAGGTATTTATTCTCCAATATTGAAAATAAAGTGAAACTAATTGAAGTTTAAATAAGAAGTTTGGGCACCCAAGTTTTTAAAAGGGGAGGACCTCATTTACCACACGCCCGGTCCGGGCTTGGGCTTTGGCTTTGGCTTAATTGTAAAGTCCGATTAATTTTTTATTAAATTGGGCTTGTGTTTGGACTTAATTTATTTTTTTGGTTGGGCTTATTTAAATGGGTGTGACTGGTCCAAACCAGTGCATTCAAAGGGTTGCACATGGTCCGAACCAATGCTTCTAAACCTTCTATTTGAACTGAACCATCACATCCAATGCATATGATGGTTTAAGCCACCTGAAAAGGCACCAGATTACCTATAAATACCCCATTTGGGATCATTTGCAAAATACACCAAAATTAAGAATACTTTTCTTCTACTTCTAAATTTTTTCCTCTCTTCTTCTTATTTCTTTGCATAAACATGATATTAGAGTGTGACTTAGAGTCTGGTTTAGAGAGAGAGAGAGAGAGAGAGAGAGAGTATTACACCAGTCGGTTCGTCCATTTCTTCGGTTTGTAGTGCTGCTACCGAAGAAAGAAATGTCGCTGTATTCTGAAAAATAGACGTCATTCAGTCCGTCAGCACCATAGCTGGACAAATCTGTCTTAAAAAGATAAAATTCAATTATAAACTCGACCGATTAACAAGTTCTTTTATATGATTTTATTTTATTAAAAAATTATATATATATATATATATATATTATATTTTACATAATATTTAAATAATAATACTATAGTATCTGTTACATAAATCATTTTTGGACTTGCATACATGTGTGGGTGTAGCTTTTTTGTGGGGTTTGTGCGTGCGTAAGCTTTCTTTTTCTTATGGAGGTTGGAATATATGCTTTTATTTCACCCGTCCTCTTCAATCTCTTGGTTTAAGAGTAGGCTATGTAATCAACTTTTAGACTGGGAGCTCGAAAATTGATAAAGGGAAACTATTAAGTCGGGAGTCTGAGGATTAGTAAAGCGGACTATTAAGTTGGGAGTCAGAGGAAACGGAATATATCGCTTTGTCTGTCATATTTAAATTCTCTAAATTAAATTTTTTAAGTCATGTTAAGTTAAATTTTTTACAGATTGACAGGTGACATTTAAAATTTATTTACGGCTTAAGTTAAACCATGTCAACTAATTTAAAGAAAGTTTAAAAACTGTACCGTTTTGATATAAGAAAAATTTACAAAAGTTTAAAAACTGTACCGTTTTGAAATTAGAAAATTTTGTAATACTTTAACGACGTTAACGTCGTTCTCTCTCCTCAAATTTTCAGAAAAAAAGATCGCTCCCACTCTTTCCTCTTGCTCATTTCCATGATTGAGAAAAGATTTCCCACCAAAAATAAATGTTCTTTGGATTCGTCATTGAGCAAAAAATGGTCAATATTGATAAGTTTTATTTTAGTCTTTTAGCTTTATGTAGGGTTCGAAACATTGATGGGTTATGTGGATGGCTGACGAAATTTCTGTCACTCTATTTGGGCAAGTAAAATGATATAATTAGGGGTAATTAAAAAAACAAGACGCTATGTTCGGTGCACCTTGTATAAACATCTAATATACACACGTAAAACACACACACACACATTTTGTGTGTGTATGTATATATATAATACACAAAATGAGTAGAAAAAATTTGTCCAAAGGTTAGCCGTCAGTGTAATCACTTAGCTGAACCAATTATCTTCTCGAGCAATTGATTTCGCAGCTCATGCTTACCAATTAATTAGAGTGACTTTATACATTTTGACAATTGAAAGTGCAAGAAAATGCCGTTGTATATTAGAAAAATAATTTTTTTTGTATTCCAAACAATCTGCCACTCATTTTCTCTGTCACTTCTAGAAGTTTACAATTACCATAATTTTCTATATTTTTTTCTATAGGTTGAAGGTTGATGGGTCTTCCTTATTTGTGGGGGTGGTCTGCCTATACAAATTGACCCAAAAAATGCGGCATGTTGTTGCTATTTTCGACTATGTATAAATTGGGCTTGAATTATGGACCTTTTGGATGATGAACAGCCCAGTAAATCGGGCATGTTGGGCTGCACCTGGCCCGGATCGGGCCCATTCACATTTCCCAACCTTTTTACAATGAAGAAGCTCCGAATCAAAAGTTGAACAAGTAATAATTCAACATCGGATTAACTCTCTGGGATTAGCCTGATGATAAAGATTTTTATCTACCGAGAGTACGAATCCTGTTACAATCACATGTAGGGAATTTTTCTGGTGCATATGGGACGAGATAGGTGGATTAAAAAAAAAAAAAAAAAAAGGGATTTTTTCAGCTGATATAAGAGCATAAAGGGCTGGAACGTGTTTGTTTATTTGTTTTTGGGCCAGGCTGGGCATCTAGAATTTCAACTTTCTAGTCCAAGCCTGTTTCGATGATGCATGATTGTTGAAACACACACACACACACACCTGATTCCATCTGGGCCGTGCGGTCCAATCACACAGTCCATAGACTGATGTTCCAACCCCAAGTCCTCCAACCTGAACTACCAAAGAACTTTCATCAAACAAATGCTGTTTGGTTGTGCCATTGAAGATTTCAAGAAAAACTGGAAGTGAGGAGCATCCACTATGGGTGGGCTTGTTTTGACCATTCATCCGAGTCACCTTATAACAACACTGTTATCACTAAGGACAAAGTAACAGAAATAAACACTTCAATTTTGATCTCCTTAATGTTGGATTAATATCTGATACAATGTTTAAGAAACACTTTTCAAAATATTACCTGAATCCTAAAATAAAAAATCTTTAACCACCTGATTAAATTTTACAACAGTACAAATAGGAAATTTGGATGGTTTAAATCATATGCAATCTGACATGTTTAATATTGGCTTCTCAGAATGTCATGACTTATCAGAGGATAGAAAAAAAAGGGTGTTTCCTAGTATTTTCGTTTCAAGTGAGCTCATTTGGCAAGAATTTAAAATCATGAAAATTGACAATTCACCCTAGTTTAAACTCACGTTTTTTTTTTAATCCCATGATTTGACAAATCTCTTTTCTCCCGATTTAGAATTCAACAGCTAAATTTACAATTTCAAAATCGATTGATTATATTATTATATCAAAGATGGATAATGGAATCAACTATTGGAATGTTCCATTATGACGTACAAAAATTGGGTTAACTCTGATAAGATTAGATCATTAGAGATTGATGAATTTCTAAAAGAAATCCTCAATTTGTAACTCAAAATCTCAAGATTCCAAATTTATAGGTTTGAATCTTTGGAATTGTATAAAAATAAAAAATAAAAACTATCAATTTGGTGAAGTAACAAAGCTAGAACTCCTTTTCTGAAATCATGCAAAAGGAGCTCTACTTTGTGCATTTTCCTTTCCTGTACTCTGTAAACTAGTTATATCCACATTTAAGTCCCTAATTAAAGTGTGTGCATCATCAGGGTGTTCTTACACTCTTATTTATAAGGTTTTCGGGGTTATTCTGAGTTGCTTTATTGGTTAGCTATATATTCTCAAATGACTAAAAATTTGTAGTTTGCTGGTTATTTCTCACCTTTAAAGTAGAGCGTTGAATCCTTCTAGGGGAAAATTGGGTGTGAGAGTTTCATTCAACAAGAAACATAAGCATATATATAAATATATATATATATATATATATATATATATATATATATATTCCCGAATGATGAGTAATCAATATCCAGGTGAGGCAGTGTGAAACATGAAGGACAGTATTAGATCTGCAACCAACATCCAGGTGAGGCAGTGTGAAACATGAAGGACAGTATCATCACAAACTGCATTAATTATCTTTTCCAGGGAAGAGAGTTCTTATCAAGCATCATTATTATTTGGAATCAAAAGCAAAAGTTTTATACAAGTACAATAATGTTTCTGCACAAGTAAAATTAACTACGCATAATGTGGTGTAAAATTAACCAATGTTTCAGAATCTGTATTAAAAATGATGTTTACGAGGATAACATAAGTTGGGATTGGATTATCAGCTGCAATCCTCGTATAGTGATGTTATACAGGACTCTTAACCTGTTACATTCATTTTCGAAAACAACTATATATATATTATATTTTGGAATAAAAAAATATTTATTATGTGCTTAAAAATTAATTTAAATTTCTAGATGATTAAAGACTAGGTTCAACTTCAATTGGTTGAAAAACTTGAGCCCTATGTTTGGGGGTGAAATAGAAATACTAACTGCAGCAAACGGGTGAGAACAGTAAAGCTCACCCACATATTCACGCCTAACTAAACCGACACGTGGCACTCCATGAACCCTCAAATCTGGTTTTCACCATCGATCGCCGCCTTTCTTGCATACGGGAAGTTCCTTCCTACCGTCCCACATTAAACCGAAGCCCCCGACCTTACCTTTCTCTCTCTGCAATTATTTTAACTATCAGAGAGAACTCATATACGGTCCACACAGATTTTCTCGAGAAAATTAAATGGATTCGATTTCCGTGAATTGGGAAGCTCTCGATTCTTTGGTCATTGATTTCGCCAAATCTGAGAACGTAATAGAAGACTCTGTCTCGTCTCCATCGTCACCTTCGTCTTCGTCTTATCATTCGCGTTTGTTGATTCGCCAGATTCGACGGTTGGTGGAGGTCGGTGACGTTGATGCCGCCATAGATCTCCTTCGTGCTCACGCATCTTTCGTTCTTGATGATCACCGACTTCTGTTCCGGTTACAGAAGCAGGTAAGTCTGAGAAACTCTGTTTGTTTGCTGTAAATATTGGAGGAATAGAATAAAAACTGATTTTTTTATATTTGTAATTTATTTATTTTTCATTTAAAAAAAAAAATGAATGACATTGAACTTGAGTGCTTGAGTGTTACGAGCAAAGTGATTTCTGTTTTTCTTTTCGCTTTCATTTTCTCTGCTGTCAAACACAGCATCATTGCCATCTCTTCTTCTATTCTATTAAGTGAGGTTCGTTAGATTAACTTACTGAATTGAACTTGTCTTTTTGTTAATAAACACTTTGTGAAGAAATTTATTGAGCTTTTGAGGAGAGGAACTGAAGAGGATCGTGATTCTGCACTCAAATGCCTACGCACTGCATTGGCGCCTTGCGCCCTTGATGCTTATCCGGTATTTTCGTATTTGTTTCTTTTGTGCATTTGCTGGTGTCATTCCTTAGTTACTTCCTGTACTTTTTTATTTTTACTGGATTGGTTCTAATTGTACGAGTAGTACTTTTTTTGGCCCCCCATAGGAGTTGTTTACAGTTCATTATGATCTGAAACATTTGTTTTTGAAATGGTATATGCCATTCTGATTTTGAAAACTGTTTCTTGATGTGTAATTCATTGAAGAAGCTGAGTGTAACAATTTGAACCAACTTATTAATTGATGCAGGGGCAGAGCCAGAAATTTTTAATTTGGGGGGCTGAATTATATATTGTGAAAATATAATTCAGAAAATGTAATATGAAAAAGAAAAAAATAGAGAAGAGGAAGCGGTAAATTACTGGTAAAAAAAGAAGTAAAGGAAAAACATTGTTCAAGAATTAGATTTCATTGAAGAATTGTTTCAATTTATAAAATAAAAAAAAAAAATTGATTTCTTTGATTCCACTTTGAGAAAAATATGTCATTATTACCTTGATAAAAGATTAAGAGAAAAATATAACGTATTAAGTAAACAATAATTTTACAAACTTGAAAGAAACACATTAGCTTTAATCAGTAACTTATACAAGTAGTAACTATAGAATTTATCATCCAGCACGTGACAAACTAATATATTAGCATATATAATAACATTGTTGCTGTTAGATTTTTTTTTAGTAAGTTTGTTGTTGTTATTCTTATCATCTACGTCTCACAATATTTTACTTTTTTCTACTTCCCAATATTCTCAAGACTCCCAGATGGAGTATAATTCTTGATTATTATCTTGTAAACATCATTTAAAGAAAATGACTGACAAGAAAGGTTAATGTATTTTTATTAAATATGAAACATTAGCGTAATTTTCTCTCTCTCTCTCTCTCTCGAATTCGCATGGTGAATATTATACATGTGTATATATAAATGATGAAAGAAAGATATATTGTAGTAAGAACTACCATAACAATGAACTTATTATTTTGTTTATTATTGAAAAAAACTTTTGATTTTATCTAACAAGATTTAAGGTTTGAAAAGTAGGCTAAAATGGTGGAGATAGCAAATTTTTATGAGTTTTGAGAAGATAAAGTTATTTTTACTTTTAAACTCATAATCTGGGATAAAGAGAAAGTTGATGATGATGATGAAACTCATAATTATTGGGGCTATAAAAAAAACACGCACACACACACCCCACCCAAAGCCCTCCTCTATCTCTGCCTCTGAATTGATGCACATTTTTGCTATAATGGGGGACTTTGGTACAGGAAATGTTAGATCTTTATTGTAATATTATTGAAGATTTGATTTGACAACTAGAGTGCCCAACTTATTATTATTATAGGTTCGAATTCATAGGAAAGGTTCGAATTTATAGGTTTTGTGTCAGCTCTCAACAAAATCTTATTCCAACTGTTTGGGCTTAGTTACATGAATTTGAAGGTCATAATTTTAGTTATACCACAAAGCCATCGTATATTTCTTTACTATCTCAATTTCTCCTCATCTAGTGTTATGTATTTGTAGACGACATTACTTTTACTGGACGGGGTTGTTTTTTGGTCTGTTTTTCACATGTTCAAATCATTTATTGACATGTACTATTCAACATTTTTAAAAAAATGAAGATTCTTTGAAACAATAAATGTGAGTCTTTAACATGCATTTTATTTTTCTGTCTTGCTTTCCATTTTTTTCCAATATCGCTGAACCTTAACAGCTGCTTGAAGTTATTATTGTTTAGCCTCATTCTGTTAGATCTGGACAACTTTTGTTTTGTTACTAGACCCACTCACGTGGTTAGTTGCATTTCGTTCGCTTTGTTTACTTTTGGGTTCTGATATGTTTGTTTTATTTTTTTATTTTCAAGGAAGCATATGAGGAATTTAAGCATGTTCTTCTTGCCTTCATTTATGATAAAGATGATCATACCTCCCCTGTGGCAAATGAGGTAAGCTGTAATTTGTCTCTTTTGACGGTTATGATTTCATAGTTGTACTTCAACCGTGTATGTGTTGTATGTTATATTACTCAAGAGTGTTGATGAGCCAAGTCAATGTTAGTTCATGATGACATTTTTGGATTCAGCTGTTAGTGTTTTAATTTTATGCTTGATTATAAGCAAAATACATCCTGTACATACATTAAATAAGTAAGTGCATTGCTCATCATGTCTTTGGATAAATTGGAACACTGACAACAACAGCTTTTAGTATGTTAAAATAATAATAAAAAAGAATTAATAAAGAAAGAAAAATCTCTTTTGGCTGTTTGGGTCATGAATTGGGTCTTGGAACAAAAAAAGTAAAAAAGGTCATTCATATTCACAGTGAGGTAAAAAATGTCATAAGAAGAATAAAATGGTCATAAAACTAAAATCAAAGGGAACATTTATCCCACACGACTATTTTCCATTAGTTTTTTAATGGTTGTTTGAGGAAGGTGGTTGGTTGCAAATTTTTAGGATAAAACAGGGGATGCAAAAAATTTAGTTTAGGGTTTTTTTGCAAAATATTGTATAATAGTGTTTTTTATTTATTTATTTTTTAAATAATAAGTAAATACTACTGCAAATAATAATAGTGCATATTTTTCTTATTAACAAATTATATATAAGATTAACTATATCAACTATTTCATGTTAGTGTATATGTAGAATCTTTGTTCTTGAGAGAGAGAGATAAAGATGAAGATTGGAGAGCAATTTTCTATATATCATAAACCCTAAACATAAAAGGGAATATATACAAACATAAGATAGGCCAAATTACATTACACCCACAAACTATAATTACAATTTGGCCCAACATAAATATATATATATATATACATATAAAATGTTCTAACACTCCCCCTCAAGCTGGAGAATATATATCATATAATCCCAGCTTGAAACAGATAGCCTTCAACCAAGTATGACCAAGAGCCTTTGTAAACATATTGATCTTCAGACTTTACAAATGGAGTAGAAATATTCCCACTTAGTATTTTCTCTCGAATAAAGTGACAATCAACTTCAATATGCTTGGTTATCTCATGAAATACAGGATTGGATGCAATATGAACAACCACTTGATTATCACATAACAATGGAATAGGAGTATTGACTATCAACTTAAGTTCCTCAAGAAAATGTTGTAGTCATGTCAACTCGCTAGACTTAGGTATGGGCCATCGGCTTGTACTCAGCATCAACACTAGACCGTGCTACCACTATTTGCTTTTTACTTCTCCGTGTAACAAGATTTCCGCCTACAAATGTGCAGTAGCTTGTAGTGGATCTCCTATCTGATGGAGAACCAACCTAGTCAGCATCGGTGAAACCTTCCACCCTAAGATGTCCATTCGGTTTATATAGCAACCCAAAACCTGGAGCTTGCTTGAGATATCGGATAATTCGAAGAACCGCATTTCATTGTGGCATCCTAGGAGCCCCATGAACTGACTTACAACACTAACTGCATACGAGATATCAGGCCGAGTGATAGTAAATTAATTTTTCAACAAGATGTCGATATCTGCGAGGAATCATCAAATAGATCACCTTCCTTTAACAAGAGTTTTGTATTTGGATCCATAGGAGAATCAACAAGACGACCACCTGATGTCGCCTTACCAGGAGGAGACAATCAAATTGTCTTTCATAGCAATTTTAAAACGAAATAAAAGAATGATGCAAGAGAAAAGGAGAAAATTGCAAAGCAAATTTTATTTGCTGTAAATATAGTAATAATCTTTTAAAAAAAAACTGATTGAACCTAGAAATTACAAGGCTTTATATGGAAATTCTTCCTCCCCAATCCTAGCCTTATATTAGCTAACTACCAAATGTAAAATAAAACCAAAACAGGAAAACTGCTGAAAATCAGAAAACTACTCAAAAATGAAAGCTGATGAAAATAAGAAAACTACTCGAAATAAGGAAACTTTCAAAATATGGAAAGTTTTTGAAAAACAAAAATTCCCTTGTTGAAATTTGAAATTCTGCCTGCACCAATCTCCCTGTGTTGGAAAAAAACTCGCCCTCGAGTTTGGAGCAACTTTCCATGATCAATAAAAAATCCAAGCATGGCTTTCCATCCCTTCTTTCTTCTTTTCCGAACTCGAATCAAATACGTTAATCTTCCTATACTAACAAAGACTACAGTTGCAGAACAAACATGAATTTTGTTCGATGTCCTTTGAAATTGGGTAGGTTCACAAAACTTGGTATCCTGAACTAGAAGTTTAATCAACTTTAATTTTTCTTCCAACAACCACCTAGTAGTTGTATTGCGCTCCAAGAATTTATCCCAAACCATATCATAAAAGTAAAATCCATTATTTTTCATCTGCTTGGATCCAAAATCTTCATAATCAACCACGCATACTTCATGTTGAGATCCTTCTTTTGTAGCTTCCTTATCAGACTCATGTTTCGGAATCAATAATGGCTTTTGTATAACCAAGAATTCACCTTTATCTCCATATATGATATCATCCTCTTCTTCCAGGTAATCATCTTATTTTGGCTTGACCATTGGGGTTGCATCATCTTCCTCGATCAAAAGTTGTTTTTCTTCTCCACTAAAATTTCCTACCAATTCAGGAATTTCCTCCATAAACTCACCATCCCAACGACTTTCATCAAGTAGAATAGGTGTTGGTTTTGGTGTTGTAATGCTGCAAAAAGGATTGAAAAAATCCTCTTAATGAAAATCAGAAATCTGGAAATTGATATTTGTTCGCCAACAACGATCAGTCCGCTCGTCGAGTGATCTATGGCGATGCGAAAAATAGAATGAATTTTTCGCAATAGTCTCGGTGTTTGACATATCATCATCCACCAAAACATTGTCATTAACCGATGTGTTGACAACAGGTTGACCCAATAGTTAAGTCAACAACTCAACTTGTCTGCACAAAAACTCTATCTCACTTTCGTGTTGCTTGGGTAAGGGTTCAGCCAAATTCTGCATCCTACGATTTCCTCCTCTCGGTAGTTGTCGTAGAGGCATGATTGAGCAACCGGTAAGCTGAACCAAAGCTCTGATACCAAACTGATGCCGCCTTACCAAGAGGAGACAATCAAATTGTCTTTCACAACAATTTTAAAACGAAATAAAAGAACGATGCAAGAGAAAAGGAGAAATTGCAAAGCAAATTTTATTTGCTGTAAAAATAATAATAATCTCTTAAAAAAAAAAACTGATTGAACCTAGAAATTACAAGGCTTTATATATAATTTCTCCTCCTCAATCCTAGCCTTATATTAGCTAACTACCAAATGTAAAATAAAGCCAAAACAGGAAAGTTGCTGAAAATTAGAAAACTACTCAAAAAGGAAAGTTGATGAAAATAAGAAAACTACTCAAAATAAGGAAAATTTCAAAATATGGAAAGTTTTTGAAAAACAAAAATTCCCTTGTAGAAATTTGAAATTGCCTGTATCACCACCCAACTTACCTGTTTCTTCTAATAAATCCAACACATATTTTTTTTGATATAAATTTGTACCTTCCTCGGATCTAGCAACTTCAATACCTAAGAAATATCTAAGTTGACCCAAATCTTTAGGGTGGAACCGATTTTGTAGAAACAACTTCAATTTAACAATGCCATCATCATAATGTCATCTACATACACCACAAGAAAGATGAAACCAATTTTAGCGTGCTGGTGAAACATCGAATGGTCTGTCTGGCATCTATTTAGACCAAATGCTCATGCTGCCTCAGATAACTTTTCAAACCAAGTCCTTGGAGATTGTTTCAATCCATAAAGGGCCTTCCTAAGGTGACAAACAGTATGACGATATTTCTCCTAAGCAACAAACCCAAGTGGTTGCTCCATATAAACTTCTTTAGCTAAGTCATCATGTAAGAAGGCATTTTTAACATCCAATTGAAACAACAGCCAATTACGATTAACAACAATGGAAATAAGTACCCGAATAGAAGAAATCTTTTAGCAATAAGGGAAAAAGTCTAATCATAATCAACACCATAGATCTGAGTGTACCCCTTTGCAACAAGTCTAGCTTTCAAACGCTCAATAGAACCATCATGGAGGTATTTAACAGTGTAGGCCCACTTATAACCAACCGGTTTGCAACCAGGAGGTAAAGGAACAAGATCCCATGTCCCATTATGATGAAGGGCATGCATTTGATCCACCATGGATTGTTGCTAACCAGGATGAGTAAGAGCATCCTGCAAAATCTTAGGAACAAGATTAGCAGACAATTTGGATAAAAAACAAGAGAGAGACGGTGAAACATGATTATTGGAGGCAAAGTTAGAAATGGTATGTGCAGTAACACGAGCGAGTACCTTTACGCAAGGCAATAGGACGATCATGAGCCGGAGGAGGAACCTCAATAGAAGTAGACAATTGGGGGGAGGGCTCTTGTGGTTGTCAACTATTCACTTGAATTGTTTGTGGTGTGACAGACTCGGGTAAAGTAGACACAATAGGCAACGAAAGCAACAAATCTGTATTTAAGGACAAACCACGTGAAGAGAAGTACGGAGTGTCCTCAAAAGAGGTGACGTCCATACGCGCAAAAGCACTATGAGTGCTAGGATTCCAACAAATTCACATTTAATGGCACGAGGAGATAATTTATCAGTGCCAAGACGTAATATGTGAGCAAAACACACACCCAAAAACACGAGGAGTCTATGCAAATAATGGACGAGTAGGGAAAACAATTGAATAAGGGCATTTTCAGTTAAGAACGAAAGATGGCATACGATTAATTAAGTATCAAGCAGTTAAAACAACATCTCCCCAAAATGCATTGGAAGATGTATATGGATCATTAATGTCCGATCTAGTTCAATTAAATGCCTATTTTTCCGTTCTGCTATGCCATTTTGTTACAAAGTATAAGAACAAGAAGTTTGGTGCAAAATACCACGAGAGTCGCAAAATGTAGAAATAACACCTTTGACATATTCCATAGCATTATCAGATTGTAAATTTCGTATAACACATCCAAATTGGACCTCAATTTCTTCAAAAAATAATTAAAATATGGAAAAAAGTTCAGAACGGTCTTTCATTAAAAACATCCAAGTCATCCTTGAATAATCATCAACAAAGGTAACAAAATGGGAAAAACCTGAATTACTGATAGGACCCAAATGTTGGTATGCACCAATTCAAATAAATAAGATCGACAATTGTCAATAAGGGGAGGAAAAGACACTCTATGGTGCTTGCCCAACTGACACGACTCACAGTCTAAAGTAGACACTGACTCAAGAAAAGGTAAAGCAGACTTCAAGTGTCTCAAGGAGGGATGACATAACCGATAATGCCACCGACGTACAAAAACCTGTGAATGGAGAGCCATACCACTAGTAGATGACTGGCAATCCAAGTAACAGAGGCTGTTCTTTTTAATGACGCCACCAATCGTCTTCTTCGTTCTGAGGTTCTGAAAGACACAAAATGAAGGATAAAAGGTCACAGAACAATTGAGTGCTTCAGTCAGTTTACTCACAAATAATAAATTAAAAGGAAATTGTGGAACTAGTTGCATAAGAGATAATGAAATGGAAGGAACTGTGCCCTGACGAATAATGGGACGAGTTCTACCATCTGCTAAAGTAACAAAAGATTTGGAGCCAGACTTGTGAAAATTAAAAAATAGAGATTCAGTACCCGTGAGATGGGTCGATGCCCCAGAATCAAGAACCCAAGGGGAGGATGAATTTTGTACATCTGAAAAACATGTAATGTTACCTGACTGGGCAAAGGTAGCAACACTAGCAGACTTGTGATCTGTCTGGTTGACCAAGGCACTGAACTCGGCTCGAGATAGTGTGACACTGTCACTAGTTGATGAACTCGATGGCAATACAGAAGCCGTAGAAGGTGGGCGGTCTTGGCCAAGGGAGGAAGGAGAACAAACAATGTCAGAGGAAGAGACTACTTGATTCGTCCGTGTTGGTTTCCATGAAGAGCCCAACAAGACTCAATAGAATGATTAGTACCCCGACAGTTGCCACAGTAACGAGTATTGGTACTTTCACGACCACGGTGATTGCGACCTCTATCACGACCACCATTATCACGAGAACCACTCAAATTGCCTCGATACCCTCGGTTGCTACTGGGATGACCACGACTTTTAGAAAACTGTGGGGGTGATAGAAGGAATCATCATAGCTGAATTTTCTTTTACAGTGGACGTCCCATGTGAGGGTTAGGGAACCCGTCGTAGTCGAGCATAAATGTTACCCAAAGATGGGAGTCCTCCATCACCAGCAAGTATGTGATCCTGAATACTTTGAAGATTAGGGTCTAATCCCGCAAGAAAAATAGAAACATAAAATTCTTCACGTTGTCGCTTGAGAACTTCAAGATCAGTAGTCAAGGGGTGGTACTCATTCAACTCATCCAACAAGCTTTTGAAAGTACTGTAATATTGAGCTATGCCTTGACTGGACTGATGAGAATGAAACATCTTTTCATACAAAGAATATATGCGAGAAACATTCGTGTCCATAGAGTAGTTGTCTTTAACGGCATCCCAAATTTCCTTTACAGTGTTCACAAACATAAAATTGGATGCAATGGAAGGTTCCATACTATTCCACAACCATGACATAACTATATAATTATCAGTTTCCCAGTCAGCATATCCTATTGGAGTTTTAGATGGATGGTCATGTGTAACAAATTTCAGCTTTCGTCGGGCGCCTAAAGAAATTTTCACAGCTTGAGCCCAGAGTAAGTAATTGGAATTACTTAATTTCATAGTGGTAATTTGCAGTCTCACATGATCAAAATATGGAACAGGGGACTTAATTCCAGTAGGTTCAGTGGCAACAATTGAAGTTTCTGACATGGAGGAATGCTGAACCAAAAAAAAACTTCAAAGAAAAAAAAAACTTATTGTCCCGGGATAAAGGAAGCTGCACACACACCGACTCCCAAGTCTGTCCTGAGAAGAAAGAGGTTGCACACAACGAACAATGGAAGAAGGAGAAGGTCAGTTTCTGCTTCACCAGAGAAGGCAAGAAAATTCAGAGCAGAACCGTGTTGGGCCGGATCCCAAATCTGGTTGGATCTCAAATCGGGTCACATAATCGGGTTGAATCTGAACCGGGTCACTGAAGAAAACAGGTTTCAATAGAACTGGTTTGGGCTACCTTACTCCTGTAGCCAAACAGAGCTGTTCTTCCCAAACACCGCCCGATGACGTCAGGAACCCTTCTGCAGCTCTATAGGTGACGGCGAAGGCTACCACAAATCAGTCACGCACTGCGAGCTTCAACCAATGACATCTCGGCAAAGAGGAATGGAAGGTAGGTCGCGATCGTGGCACAGCCGACGATGACACATTCGCGACGACTAGAACACGACCACCCAGCAATCAACACACAGAAAAAGGGAAAAGTGAGTCCTCTGCAACAGTGAACAGATCAGTAGTCTTCGATGAAAAATTCCGGCGAAAGAACCGATGAAATCTGTACAGATTGGACCTCTGTAACTCTCCAAGCAAATTCACAGATGGGAACTCTGTAGCCTCTGCAACTCTCCAAGCGAATCACACCCACAAGCTAGTACACACTCTAGCAGTTCGGTGGCAACGACAATGGTCGGATCGTTGCTCTGATACCATGTAAAATCTTTGTTCTTGAGAGAGAGAGAGAGAGAGAGAGAGAGATGAAGATTGGAGAGCAATTTTCTATATATCATAAACCCCAAACATAAAAGGGAATATATACAACCATAAGATAGGCCAAATTACATAACACCCACGAACTATACATAATTACAATTTGACCCAACATAAAGAAGCCTAATTTGGCTTCTTTTAATGCAGCCCAAACAGCCAAATCAAGCTAGCCCACTTGTAACTTAATTTTTTTTTTTTTTATAAACTTAGGCCCAATCTGAGTGGAGGAGAATATGATAAACTACTTTAACCTAAAGGAGAGAGAGGGGTCAAAATTTATACCCAACACATGATGATTTACTGATAGGAATGAGATCCCTGCCCCAAACCACCCTGTTGCCATCCCTAGTTGGGATGCTGAGTGCTTTCTGGTAGGGAATCTTTTTTGATGGCATAGTTGCTTATGAAATCCCACGGTAGCTTCATGTAGTCACTTTATGTACACAGATATTATATATATATATATATATATATATATGTACCTTCTAAGAAAAAATATATAGACATACATATAAAGTGAGCTCATGTCTCATACTTCCAATTCTATGATGTCTCTTAAATTTTTATGGTTTCATTTGATTTGTAAAATGTCATCATACTTCTTTTAGTTATTCGATTAGATAAACTTGAATAGCTATCATTAGACGCATTTTGTTTATGCTTATGGGTAATCTAATTAAGATTTTATTTGTGCATTTCTTGGATGCATAAATTGTAATACACTTGGCTTTGTTTGTTTCAGTGGTCTGAAAGGAGGAGGTTTGACATTGCTGGATTATTGTCCTCTGTTTTAAGAGCTCATTTACATGCATATGATCCCGTCTTTTCGATGACTTTGAGATATTTGATAAGGTCAACATCAAGCCGTCAACTTGTCATTAATTTATTTTCAATGAACATCTACTCTATCTATCTATCTATCTATTATGTGTACAGCATACACAAAGGGTTCTGCTTTCGTCAAGGAATTCTATCACCAATTTCAGATCTTACTGAGAGGTTGCTTCTTGAGGAACGAGACCCTCCTGCGACACCCCAGGAGAGTTTGTATGAAGCACCCCCATTTGATGAGGTGAGTTTTCTGTTAGAAGAAGCACATATGTCTGAAGCAGGTATTATGTGCAAATAGGGGTGCAAAATGGTTCATGAATCATGACCCATCAACCCGCCCTTATCCGCCCGATTTTGAATGAATTTGGGTGAACCATTTTAAAATATGGGTCAAAGATGGATACCCATATTCATCCCATTTTTATAAAGAATTAAATGGGTTGGATATGGGTACCCATATTTCACCCAATACATATAAGTCAAAGAAAAAATCATTCTGCCTCACCCCCTCTCCCTCTAAAGATTTTCTCTCTAGTCTAGACTACAATCTCCCCTCTATCTCTCTAAGATATTCTATCTTCGGTCTCTCACATCCCCCTTTCTCTCTCTAAGACTCTCTATGTATCAAACCAATATGGGTCTCTTCTTGATTTGTTCTCACTGGTTCTGTGGGTTTGATTGGACTCAATTTCTTGGGTTTGCGTACAACACTTTGATAGAATGGAAAGTTGAAAAAGTTTACTATTTCACATCTTTTTCAGTATTGCTAAGTATACTTATATATCACTGTCTTAACTTTCATGGAAGAAAAAGGAAGAAGCTTACTCTTTTTTTCATAAATCAGATTCTGCTTTAAACATCATATTTTGAATCAGTTCAGGAAAAAAGAAAATTCAGTATCTAACCAATTCTCATTTATCAAATAGTAAAGGGATAATCTGACTAGAAATCAGAGCTACTGGAATTGATTGAGACAGACTAAGATAAAAGCTGATATATTATATTAATGCTTAAAAACAGCAGGAACAACAACAAACAAAGGAGGAGAGAATAGAAAGGGAAGGAAAACAGAGCATAGACTACATCTTGTCCAGACTATTATGAGACAGAGCAACAACAAACAAACAACTTTATGGTTCGGCTTGTGCAAATGGGTCGACCCATACTGATTTGCCTTCACGGGAATTGAAGGTTGAAATTTCATAAAACAGTATAAAAATTAAAGAATTTTTAATAAAAGATTGTAGAATATATATGGATCATATGAGTTTTGTCAACCTACTTATATTCAACCCACTTAAATAGTAGCTGTAGTTAAAATTGATTTTTTTTTCAAATTTTTTACTCCAATAAAGATGCAATTAGACTAAAAAAAATTGCAAGAATGAAAATTTTTTTTTTCCAAAAAAAAAAAAAGGAAATAAAGAAAGAAAACAGGTCATTACGGGCTGGCCCAACCCATATTTGACCCGCTGCAAATGGGTTGACTATGTGTTACAACTCGTAGTTGACCCGACTATATTTAACCCGACCCAACCACCCGTTTGCCACCCCTATGTGCAAATAATGCTAAATAGCCTCAATGTTTGGTCTTAATCCAGCCCACCCTTCCCACCTCCCACCTTCAATTGACAGGTGATCCCTGGATAACGACATTTAAATTTTTTTTTAATTGTTACATGGAAGGAAAATTGCAAAACACCATGAATTTTGGCTTCCTGATGGGCTGACACATGAATGAACAATCTATCTGTTTATCATGTGTAAGGCCTTTTGGTCCTCAAGCTCTCATTTATCTGCTGCGTCTAGCTCATATTTTTTATAGTCTGATGTTGCATGATCCATTCTCAAATACAGGTGGACATACAAGCCCTTGCACATGCTGTGGAGCTTACAAGACAAGGTGCCATTGATAGCCTAAGATTCGCTAAGGGTGATTTATTCCAGGCATTTCAGGTTATTATTTTGTCTAGTTCATTTCATGGGTTATTCTCACCATGGATAATGTTTTGTTTTCTCTCTTTGAATATTTATCACATTTTTTAGTAGTCACAGCTGGCTTGGAAGTTTATGTTGCATTGTTTAAGAGGCAGGTGGAAGCATCTAGATGGTCAGCAATTGGGATCACATATAATTATTGGAACATGCATGTTGTAGTAGGTAGATCACATGTGCCTGTGTGATGTAATGTGCTTGTGTGAGAAAGAGAGAGACAGACAGACAAACACATGTTTGAAATGCTGTCTGTTTATGTGGTATCTGGGGTCTGCAATCCTTTATGGTTTACTCGGCATGAACAACTTCCTGAGCAGGATTTTTTTTTTTTCCAGGAAGTTGGAACTCCTTTAGTTTCTTTTTTCCACAGCTTTTATGGAAGCCTGCTTGCATACCCATTTAATTCTTGACCTTCATTGAGGGAACTACACATTTAAGAAGGTGCCTGATGGCTAGTATGTTTAAGGCAGTTAAAACAAGTCTTGGGTGCTCATGGCCTTCGTTACAAATGTGAAAGACAATAGATATGCTCTCTTCTTGTGGCCTCTTAGCTTAAATAATGAATTTCTGAAGACAGAGGACAAGGAAGTAGTTTATTTTATTTTTATTTTTTAATGGAGAGTGGTTTTATTGTCCGATCACGAATGATGTCATCAATTTTTTTAGGGAAGTTGCTTTGAAGAACTCTCTTGTAGATATCTATGTTACCTTTCACTGCAATTTTAATAGATGGAGCTCTCCCACATCATTTGTCTGATTAGATTTTGGGGTAACCAACAAACCCACCATCAGGTGATCAAGTGTCCCTGTTATATAAGCACTAAATCCACCAATCTTCTTTATTGTATGGTTAAAATGGATAGAGACTTTCATGGTCTTCATGTGTATAGTTAATACAGTTTTTTTGTTTTTAAATTCATCCATCCTATCAAATTAAGACATTATTTGTATTTGTGATTGTGTCATGTTATATGCAACTATTTTTAAGCTTATAAGTTTATTCTTTTTGTACTTGTTGTCTTTCGCAGAATGAAATATGCCGGATGAGATTGGATGTTTCCATGCTTGATGAGCTTGTTCATGAATATTGTGTGTATAGGGGTATTGTGGATTCTGGTCTTACTTCCCCTTCTGGTAAATACGCTTAGAACATCATCAGATTTAAATTTAGTTTCTCATTTTTCTTATTGCGGATAATTCTCATCATATAAAATTTCTTTAGCATCAGGAATGCAATTAATCTTTGGAGGTTGGATCTTCAAAACTTAATCAACCAGAACTTGATTGTTGTTTATCAGGAAACTGTTCTCTTGATGTTGAATCTGGAGCCAGTAAAAATTCGAACAGTGAGACTTCTATTAATAATGCTCGCATGAATAGCTCTCCTGAAATTAATGTTGATATGGTCAGCATGCACGGTACTGAAACTGAAGAGCGATACCCGTCTGAGACAACCAGCAACCATGAAGACTGTAGTACCAGTGGAAAAAATCACACTGAAAATTCAAGGGTTTCACAAAGAAGTAGAATTCATGGAATTGGGGAAAGGAGCAAACGCAAGCGTTGGAGAGGGCGACATGAGAACCTTGATTCTATTCCTGATATTCTCAGTGGAAGCAGCAAGCAAGATCTTAGCACCACTACCTTGACCCTGAGCACAAGTGCCTCCAAGGAACACCAGGTATCTGGTTGATATTTTTAATTTAACCTTTATTGAAATGGTTAGTGAGAAATTATTGTTCTACAGGGTTTCGAAAAAGATACACATCCAACTGTGGATGCTAGGGATGATAAGTTTGAAATTGTGCTGGGGATGAAGGAATTAGCAAGCAGAGGAATGGCAGCTGAGGTTGTGGAAGAAATAAATGCTATGGACCCGAACTTTTTTTCACGGAACCCTATTTTGTTATTCCAACTTAAACAGGTAAAGTTGAGATACATTATGCATGGCATCAGCAAAAACTTTGAGGAATAGTTTGCTTTATATAAGACAAGAAATGCCACTAACCAATTTAATGCTTACAGGTTGAATTTCTGAAGCTGGTCCGATCCGGTAATCATTCTAGCGCATTAAAGGTCGCTTGTTCCCATTTAGGCCCAATGGCTACTAGTGATCCAGCTTTGCTGAAGCCCTTGAAGGAGACTTTGTTGGCATTGCTCAAACCCAACGAAGATGCTCTTTGTGAAGGCTTGCCCTTACTTACTCTTGCAACTTCACTTCAGGTATGGCATTACTTGCTTCCTTGATTGGATTGAATACACTGACCATGCTAACTTCTCTAGTTTTAAAAGTTGGCTGATTCGGCAATGTAATGCCATTACTTTTACCACCTATGTTACCTGGACTCGGGTACGGGTGTCGGACATGGGTTCATGTCTAGTGGTTGGATCCATCCATCTATCAAATTATAGGACACTGGGACATGGAATAAAAGTGACACTTGTAGGAAAAGAAAAAAAATGTACCCTTTTTTATGTTAGACCTAAGTTTTTTAATGAAAAATTGAATAAATATGTAAATGTAAAGATAGCAGCGTGGAGCCTTCCAAGCTCTATTTTTCTGTGATGCAGGTTTTCTTTTTTTTTTTTGCTCTGTTGTTGCACTTGCACCTTTTCTTACAGTTTTGGATGCAACTGCAATGTTCTCCTGTGTGGGCCTGTTTTTGTTTTGTTTTTCTGGGCTGCCTTTGGGCTAGGCCTTTCCTTGTACAATTTCTTTTTTTAGTGAATGGATTTACTGAAAAAAAAAGAAGGTAATACAACTTGTATAATAATATTACCTTATTTATAAAGTCAAACTGTCAAAGCTATAAAGGTCAAAAAATTCGCTCAAGATTGACCAATATATATTACTTAAATAAAATAATACAGCTGTAAACTGTTCATAGCCTTAGATAGAGTTTTATTCTTGTTAAAAGACCAAACTCCCATATTTTTACAGCCAAATCGACAAGTGGCATGATCGTGATCATTGAAGGGTATTAAAGGCATTAGTAAGAATGTGAAAACACGCTCGGCCATTACAAAATTTTGTGCAAATGAAGCGCGTACACTTCAGTCTTCTTCAACCCTTTGAAAGACGCTACTTTTGAAACAAATCGCCATTGTTGTACCAGTAAGTTTTCTGATCTCGTTAATGGCAACCTATTTAACAAATAAAACATGAAGAAAGTTCGCAATCCTTCACAAGTACCAACCCAGACATCTTTTTTTGAGTTTTCGTCATCTATCAGCCATGTCCGGTAGACGCCATGAAGGATCCGACTCAGATCCAGTGTCGATATCCGTGTCGTGTCGTGTTGACATGAGCACTTCGGCCTGAACAGGTGAGTCCAGGTAACGTAGTTTACCACTACGGACATACATGCTATGTAATGCCATTACTTACCACTACAGACATATATGCCATGTAATGCCATTACACATGAATATGATAGGCACCTGAAACACTTCTATCCTCCCTTTCTTCCTCTTTTATCTCTCCCTTTCTCTCTCTCTTTTCACTTATTCTCTCATTCAACAATTAGGAAACTCAATTATTTAAGCTAAATTTATACTCATTCTCCCCTATTCGTTCATCTATGTTTTCCCCTTCTTCCCCTACTAAAATTCCCATTTTTTTTTTTTTTTTGTTTGGTTAGACATTTTATTTATTTATTAAACCATTGTTGTACAGTATTGTATGAGCTGTCACACGTCTACAGGTAGATTAATTGTGTACTAGTGTTTACTAGTATTTTCTGTATTTTGTAGCCGCCTTCACCTACCCCTTGTTACCATATATAACATTACCATGTATAGGGTTTACTTGTTCTCCAATCACCTACTCTTGTAGCTTCTCCTATATAAACACCATTGTATTATTGTATTACTCACTTAATAATATACATGTTTTTCATATATTCTCTCCTCTTTCAACATGGTATCAGAGCATAAATCGATCCTTCTTTAAAACTTTTTTTAAATTTTTTTTTTTTTACCATCTTATTCAGACTCCGTTCTTGATTCCATCTCAACTTTCTCTCAACAATCTCTTCTCGGCAATCTGTCCTCGATGATCTCGGTTCTCGTCTCGGCGATCGATATCGGATCCCTCATTCGCTCTTTCCTCAACAATTTCTCTCGGGTTCATCTCAGCTTGATCTTGGTTTTCTCATCTCGGCTCCCTCTCGCTACTCTCTCTCTTTTGCTCAGCAACCCTCATTATGGATACCAGGACTCTCATCTTTTTGGGTCAATCACCAGCACCAAACTGAAAGGTTCGAACTACCTTTAATGGTCTCAAGCCATAGAAGTGTTCTTACGGGCTCGAGAAAACTGTCCTATCTTCAATCAACTAAACTCGCCATTGATGAAAAAATTATTGAGGCTTGGGAGAAAGAAGATGATCAGATTATTACTTGGTTATGGAATAGCTTGGAAGCTGAGATCTTCAACAGTGTCATTCCCAGGATCTGCCAAAGATATTTGGGAAAATTTCAGGGACATGTATAAGTATATTTCTTAAATTTATCAGTTGTACCAGGATATTTTTAACCAGCACGGAGATCGTTGGATTGAAGATTATTACTTAGAACTGAAGGGTATGTAGGAATAGTTGAATGTCTACCAACCATTGACTACAGACATAGAAAAACAGAAACAATACAGGAAAGAGTTTCAGGTGGCGAAGTTTTTATTCGGACTTAAACCCGAACTCGCTCCGATCAATTCGTAGATTTTGTCTAGCAACGAGATGCCTACAGCCAATGAGACTTTAGCTTGAGTTTGAAGAGCATCTATTCATACCCATTTGATTGAGAAGGAAAACCACTATGTTCTTGTTGTTGCTACCGAGCAACATGATACCTTTCGTGGAGGACGAGGAGGTAGAGGTCTTTCCAACCCAGGCCGTGGTATTCGCGGCGGCAGAGAAGTGTACTCATTGTGGCTGAAACAATCACTCTGTTGACTTCTGCTAGGCCATGGCAAGCCAACTTGGGCTAATCAGGCTTCAGTTTAGGAGGAGACTACTCCCACTCCTGAGTAAGTAGTACTCTCCAAAGCCGAGTATGATTCTCTGGTAAAGCATGAGCGTGCAAATCAGCCCCCCTCTTCCACTGTTGCTATTGTTACTTCAGGTAATACCTGTTTCCATGCTTCATCTTCTGCACCTTGGATCATTGATTCAGGGGCATCCGATCACATGTTGGGTAATCCATCCCTTCTTTATGATATTTCTCATGTTTTCTCACCATCAGTTGTTACAATAGCGAATGGTGCCAAATCACCTGTTCATGCAATTGGTATCTTCTGCACTTCGGGTCTCACTTCTTCATCGGTTTTATATATCCCTCAATTTTCATTCAATTTATTGTCAATTCGCAAAATCATATCTAATTTAAATTGCTGAGTTATTTTTTCTCCATCCCATTGTGCCTTTCAGGATCTCAAAACGAAGAAGACGATTGGTGGGGGGTTTGAGAAGGATAGTCTTTACTAGTTCTAGCCGACTCTTGCCCCGACAGCTTTACATTCCACCTCCTCTTCAGCTTATCAGTTGCATTGCCGCCTTGGACATCCCTCTTCAAATAGTCTTTGAGTCTTGGTCCGTTCTTTAGTTGATTTTTCTAAGTTTAATTGTACTACTTGCGAACTTAGTAAACATCATCGGGCTACTTTTGAGTCTCGTTTTGATAATCTGAAACCTTTTGAGTTAGTACATTCAGATGTTTGGGGACTTGCTCGTATTACTGGTTTATTTGGTGCTCGTTATTTTTTGTCATTTATGGATGATTATTCACATTTAACATTGGTTTATATTCTTAAAAGGAGATCTCAAGTGTTCTCTGTTTTTCAATCCTTTTATGCTAAAATTCAAAATCAATTTGATGCAAAATGCTTGTTCTTAGAATGACAATGCCCTTAAATATAAAAAAATTATTTTTCAAACGTTTCTTGAGTCGAGGGGCATTATCCATCAAACATCTTGTGTTGATACCCCTTGCTGAACGGAAGAATGAACCATTCCTAACTATCACGTATGCCTTAATAATTCAAATTTATGTTCTAAAACATTTTTGGACAGATGCAATTCTTGTTGCTGCTTATCTTTTAGACCGCATGCCTTCTAGGGTCCTTCAAGGAAAATCACCCTTTCAAATGATTTTTATTTTTTATTTTTTATCAAGACTCCTTTTCCATTCATCCAAAGGTGTTTTGGTGTGTCTGCTTTGTTCTTAATCTAAGTCCGGGACGAGACAGACTTGATCCTCGTGCCCACAAATGTATTTTCTTAGGTTATTCTCGCACTCAAAAGGGATATAAATGTTATAGTCCAACTTTTCATAAACAATTTGTGTGCGCTAAACTTTCTTTGGGATGTTCCTTATTATTCCCAGGAAGGCAGTCATTTGGAAGACTCTATTCTTTAAGAGTCTGTTCTTCCAACTCCAATTTTTGATCTTGACATCCCACCAGCTCTTCGTGTCTATGCTCGTTGCTGGAAAAGAGTAGTCAATCATGTTCCAACAACTGAAGTAGTAAACGCAGCCTTGCCACCTCCAGCATTCTCTTCAACGCCTGGAGATTCTTCCATCTCTCTGGACTCTGATTTTGATCAACTTATTGTTGTTCGGAAAGGTAAAAGGTCTTGTACCACTCACCCTATCTCCAATTTTGTATCATATAATAACTGGCCTCTCCTTTCAAACTTTTACTTTGTCGTTATCCTCTTTTGCTTTTCCTAAGTCCTACAGGGAGGCACTTTCTCATCCAGGGTGGAGGAAAGCTAAGGAAGAAGAAATAAACACTTTAAAAGTGAATCATACTTGGGATCTTGTTCCTAAGCCTGCTGATACTCAGGTTGTTGGTTGTTGTTGGGTTTTCACTGTTAAACAGAAGCCTGATGGTACTGTTAATTGTCTCAAAGCTCGACTTGTTACTAAAGGCTACACTCAAACTTATGGCCTTTATTATACTGAGACGTTCTCTCATGTGGCCAAACTGAATTCTGTTTATGTGATAATCTCTCTTGCAGCTAATCTAAACTAGCCACTTCATCAACTTGATGTTAAAAATGCCTTTCTACACGATGACCTTATTGAGACAGTCTGTATGGGTCAACCACCTCGGTCTAAGTCTAAGGGGGAGTGTGTGTCATCTCAAGAAGTCTTATCTATGGTCTTAATAAATCCCCTCGTGCATGGTTTGATAAGTTCAGTAAAACAGTGGTAGCTCATGGTTTGACCAAAAGCCAGGCTGATCACTCTTTATTTTTTAAGAAAACGAAACGTGGTATTGTGATTCTTGTGGCGTATGTAGATGATAACGTTATCACCTGCAGTGACAGAGATGGAATACAAGTTTTAATACGTCAGTTGAGTTCTACCTTACTTACTAAGGATTTGAGGAAACTTTAGTATCTTCTAGGAATTGAGGTGGCTCGGTTGAAGCAAGGCATTAGTCTCTCTCAGCGGAAATATGCTCTTGATCTCGTACAGGATACTGGATATCTTGGTTCGAAACCTGTAGCTATACCAATGGAGACTAATATAAAACTTAATGTGTATGATGGTCACCCACTCGATGATTTAGAGATGTATGGTAGACTTGTAGGTAAGCTTATTTACCTCACAATCACTCATCCAGACATATCCTATGCAGTCAGTGTTGTGAGCTAATTCATGATCAGTCCTCGAGTACCCCACATAAAGGTAGTTATACGCATCTTGAAGTATCTCAAGGGTGCTCCGGGGCGTGGTCTGCTTTATCGATCTTCTGATCATCTTCGGATTGAGGGATACACAGATGCAGATTGGGCCGGTTCTTCTTCTGATTGACGGTCCACCACGGGTTATTGCACCTTCATAGGAGGAAATCTAGTAACTTGGAGGAGTTAAGAAACACTCAGTTGTGAACTGTTCCAGTACTGAAGCAGAGTATCGTGCCTTGGTGCACACTGCCTGTGAACTTACTTGGTTGAAGACTTTTTTACAGGAACTTAGGATTTCAGTCGAGTACCCAATTCCTCTCCATTGTGATAATCAAGCAGCTATTTATATTGCTAGCAATCCATCCTACCATGAGAGGACTAAACACATTGAAGTAGATTGCCATTTCATTCGATCTAAAGTTGACACGAATGAGATTGTTACACTTTTTGTTTCTTCTGGTAGACAGCTGGCAGACATCTTCAGCTTGAGGGGAGTGTTGTATAGTGTTGTATGAGTTGTCACACGTGTACAGTTAGATTACATTGTATACTAAGGTTTACTGTTATTTTCTGTATTATGTAGCCGCCTTCACCTACCCCTCGTTACCATATATGGCATTACCATGTATAGGGTTTACTTGTTCTCCACTCAACCTACTCCTGTAGTTACTCCTATATAAACTTCTCCTATATAAACACCACTGTAATATTGTTTCACTCACTCAATAATATACACGTTTTTCATATATTCTCTCTCTTTCAACAACCATCAACAGTTTTATAACATAATTCAGTTATAATGAATTTAAGTTGGGATCTATATCTAGATTTGTAGGGAACAGGTCAATGATAAAAAGGTAAAATCAACTATAATTGTGACTTAGCATTTAGTATAAATTTCAATGTTTGTAATAAAGGTCATGAAAAATCATTTAAAACATTTAAATATAGCTAACAAGGTTGAATTTTGAAACATGCAATATTGGTTAGTTTTTCAGGGTCTTTTATTGGGAGTTAGTTTCAGGGATTTTCTAGCAAGAATAAAAGACATGGCTTGGCTAACGTATCCCTGCTAGAAATTATTGATACATCTACTTCCTCTGTATGAAGTAAGTAATCCATTTTAGAAATTGGAACTTTCAATGGTGACAAACATATATTAGGCCACGCCAAGAGTACAAATTTCCAAAACTAATCACATGTTACATTAGCTAATATCTTCTAGAAAGGGGTAATTTGAAAATTTTATGGCACTGTAAATTGACTTTTTAAAGTGGACATCAATTAAGGGACACCACCAAGAAAAGGATAGATGTACCATATTTAGGGCTGCAAACGAGCCGAACTGTTTGCGAACAGCTCAGACTCGATTTGCTAGAAGCTTGGCTTATGTTCGTTTATTTAATAAACGAACTGAGCCTGAACAGGATTTGGATGTTTGATTAATAAACGAGCTAATTCCGAACACCCTTCAACTCGGCTCGTTAGTTCACGAACACGTTCGTGAACATGCTCGTTACTGGCTCGTTATTGGGCTCATAAATACACACATACAGGTATATATTTAATAGTTAGGTTCATTATTTTTTCAATTTAAACTAGTAGTAGAGCCCATTTTTATCCTACCCAACCCAACCCAGCCAATTCAATAATATTTATAATATCAATCCAACAAAGAGTCCAAGCCCGTGTTTCCAGCCCATTCATATAAACACTACGCAACTCTCTCACACCATATCTTCCCCAACCCTAACTGCCGCATCCCTTGAAGAAAGCAGTGGTGACTCTGCAACAGCACCACTGGGGACTCTGTAACAGCATCACCGGCAACGGTACTATCATGGCTGAAAATACACCGGGTTTTTCGCTCTTTCCCTGTCTCTCTCTGGGTCATATTTCTCCCTAATCTCGCACCTCCATTGTTTCTCATACTGGATGGAAGAATCAAAGTAACGGTTGAACATTAAGCCAAAGATCGGAAGTTGGATAGAGAATAATTGCGATTTCATGTAACAGGTATATATATTATCACTCATATATATATAGACACACACATATGCAATAGAAACTTGCAACAATTTTGTTTTGAGTTTTGGGTCTTATTGAGCTGAGCTCGAACACTCATATGGGAGCTTGAGTTGAGCTCGAACACTATGTCAACATGACCGAGCCGAGCTCGAACATACCCCTTCTCAGCTCGGCCCGGATCAATTGCAACCCTAACCATATTTGGACACAGGGAATAAGATTGTTACAATTTGGGAGTTGCTACCATGATTTCATATCACGCTTGAGAATGTTGGGATAACTGCCCATGAATTTTTGAGGTTACTAGTTAATAGCTATAATGGTTTATGTTAAAGGATTTAATATTAAAGTTACACCCTCTTTAACAACTTAAGCTTTTTTAGTAGATGGTTGTTAAAATGGTATTAGAGTAGGCAAGGTCCTGAGTTCAAACCTCACTGTCACTTGTTGGACCAAAAGAAGGCCACATGTGATTGACGGTGAAATATGAACTGCGCATTAGCGATGTGGAGGTTACAATCCTCTTTTTTTGTCCATCGACACCCAGAAGTATGCTGCTGCTGCTTCCTTGCTCTGTTGTTATGTAAGCTGAAAGGAGCTTAACAAAGCTTAGTCATATTTTAAGAAATATCTGCTGCCTTGGTCACTGTATTATCTACCTTGTGATGACTTTAAACTGTTTCGAATGTCTTTTCCAATTTGGCTTTTCAATTGAGATGATAGATTTCTCCTCTTTGTATGATTAAACGTGCCAATATAACATCAAAACTTACATTGGTTGTGTATAGGTTGCAATTGGTAGGAGGTTTGGCATTGAAGAACCCCAGCTTATGAAGATAATGAGAACGAGCCTTTACACACACAGTGAGTGGTTTAAACTTCAAATGTGTAAGGATCGATTTGAAGGACTTCTAAAAATCGACTCCTTGAAAGAAGTTGCCATGCCCTTGCTTACTGATGCTTCTTCCAAGCTAAATTCAGATACTTGTACCCATGGATCTTCCCAAGTTACCGCATGTTCAAGCAGTAGGATGCAGGAAGATGGAAGCAGTCCATCTCAAGTGTCTTCTAGAGATATTGCTTGTGATGAAAATGCAATACTTAAAGTAATGGTGAGTTCTGTCCACATTTTACTTGTCTAATGTTTCATGAAATCTTATGTCCGATCCATGTTGCTGTGTTTCTTAATGTTATCATCTCGTTGGGTAGAACACTTGATTTTAGCAGCTAAAAGAATGTCATCACCCAGTGGTCTTGTTAAGCAAGGGGGTAGGGAAAGGCCATAGGTCTTTATTCCAACTTTCATTCGAATTTTCCTGATTCCCATCCAGATAATAAGTCTCATAAATTGGGCTACAACCTGTAAAAACCAGGTTGGGTACATGTAACTTTTTGCAGTAGTGAATGCTTGCTGTTGAATTTGAACCTATATTTTTACACTACTTTTTAGTGGCTACTCTTTTCTTTTTCTTTTTTTAATTAATTTAATGACCTGAAAACTTTTGTTATTGCCCAATCCCCATCTTCATTCATTTGCACTTGTCTGATTCTGTATAAGTATATCCGAAGGGTATATACCTCTTGTATATACATACACACCAATATATACATACATCTTTATGCCGGTAGAGAAATCTTATTGCACACGTGTGATTCTTTATTTACTGGCTACTTTGATTGGTGCAGGAATTTCTTGCTTTGCCAAGGGCTGATGCCATTCATCTTCTTGCACAGTATGATGGAAATGCCGAGACCGTCATTCAGCAGATATTTGGGTAGTTTGGAATGTATACTAGCAAAACTAAATTTATTCGTTTATTTTATTCTGAATATTATTTCATTCAATTGTGCCATAGATTTTCCATGTAGATATATGAACAGTGTCCCAAAAAAAGCCCAATCGGGTGTTCTTGTCAGGAAAAGCAGTTAATAAAATATCGATTTGGTTCAGATGTGAGCTCTGCATTTGTTGAAGTTTTCACCCTTATTAGGGAATCGGGGTCAAACTTTTCACCGCATAAAACTTTCTTGTCGAAGTTTATTTGGGATAATCACACGGCATTGTATGGAAGTGAGTTAAATGTGTTTATTTCATGGTTCTAAATGTGATGATGCTAAAGTTTTTATTTGCAATCTGTTTGAAAATACATTGAACTATTATTATGTATTGTCAGCGGGCAGCAACAATGTCCCAGTCCTTACAATTGGTAGGACTAATGATTATGCGCTGAATAGTGAGATATACCACCAGACCTTCGGCCTTCCACCTCTCCAAAGAAAAAGATAAAAGAGTTCCAAGTCTCCAATGAGGTAAAATTATCCGAAAAAAAAAAAAAAATACAAACAAGCGCGCTAACCTCAAAGATCCAATTTTAAAGATTGATTTATTGAAACAAGTTCAATAATTTTTGGGCAAACTAATGGAGCAGAGTATAGCCACTTAGCAAGCACATATAGTACTATCAGAAGGCAGAAAGAAAAACCATAACATCTCCAGTGAAAATTTAGATACCTCTTTTATGTATTTAAACATGGTAGTCTCCGGACACAGCTCAGATGATGAGTAGGGATGGCAATGCGGCAGGGATCACATTTCTCATTCCCATCCCTATTTAATATTTTAACTCCCATAAACATCTCAAAATCTGTTGAATTTTTTAAAGTAGTTTCCATCTCCGTTCCCATTTACATAATCGGTTCCCATAACCGTTCCAAACGGGGTGGGGATTTTTGCCATCCCTTGCTGGTTTTTTTTTTTCACAAGACTTTAGACGTGAAATGAAACGAGGGCTAGGGTTTCATGCTGTGTATATATATACTTAACATGTTTTAGAAATATATCATAGTATGCAATGGTAATTTAATAAATTTATAGGAGAGGCGGGCAACCGTCCCCGGAAATTGTCCCAAAACCTGCTAGGTTTTTCAAAGCAGCCTCCATTCACGTAATCGGTTTTCCAAAATTGCCTCCAAACAGGGCAAGGTGGGGTGGGCCTCAGCCGGATTGAGGATTTTTGCCATCCCTAAACGATCATGTACCTATGTGGTTTAGTGGCGGCCGCGACCTCTTTGGCTTAGTTGCGTTTGTGAAGGTGACCTTACAATTACTGTGTTAGATTTAATTATGGTTGTGGGTGTCATACCCTCAAGTCCAAATGCAAATGCCACATCATCAACAATGGCCCACACATCTAGGTCAACGAATTATGCCACATCAGTAGCGCTGACCCACACAACCTGGTCAATAATCAAAGTTACCGTGACATCAGCATACTTCGAACAAAAGAACGAAGACTTGAGTTGGGAATAAGACCAAGTTCGTCGAATTGACACTCGGCATAACTTGTAGAAAGAGAAATAGTGAAATACCATTTTGACTCCCGAGTATTTAACCTCATCTTATTTAACATTGCTTTATAATTATTTGAGAAATTAATCTCTTTTAATTATTTTGTTAATGGACCCACATGTGATGTCATCGATGACATCACCTACTCTCACCTAACATATGAAAAGAAATGACCTAAGGCCAAGAAAGAGGCAGACAAAAAGAGCAAGGAAATGACCTCCCACATGGAGGGGTTGTAGTCTCTTTCTCTTAGATCCATGTATCCCCACACTTCACACTTTTCAAGGGAGTCAATGGTGTTTTTGTACACTGCCATCTCTCTCTTGTTTGCCTGCACTTTCACCTCTCTTTCTCATTTGCCTGCACTTTTACCTCTCGATCCATCTCAAATTTCATCATGTTACAAGATATACCTCACCATTAATTATTACTTTATTATGATTTGGGACCCACGTGAAAATCAGGGACCTACAATGGTTATGTAATACTTTTTTCCTTCCGCTAACTGCCAACTTTGACAAGCATGATAATTTACGCTTGTCAACAAAATAGTTGATTACAATGCATGCTCTACACACGCACACAAAGAAGCCATACTGAAAACAACTAATTATGATCCAACAGAGTCAATAATTGAAGATTTGTAACACAATAAAAATAACACCGCCATCTCACAAACACCTCCAAAGAAGTCTCTCACAAGACAAAACAAATAAACGAATTACAACCTCCAACAAAATGGGACGAGATAACACATTTTATTTTTAGTGCAAAAATTTATTTGAAAATGCTGAACATAAAGCGATAAATACTCCAAAATTGTTTATTCGACTTCCTTCGTTTTCAGGCAATTTTTCTCTCGGAGTTTCTTTTCTTGCGACAGTGCTTGCGCAAACCTGCAAGTATTAGAAAAAGATGGGCGTTTAGTATTGTTATACAATTAGAAGATCATAATATATGATCTCAACTTGTTTGCTCTGGAAGCTCCAGTTTTTTCAGTAATAGAGAAGAAATTAATTAATGAGGACATATAATATAATATATACATACATACATTATACATGTACATATATGTATATATATATATTCGTACTTTTTGAGCGCTTCCTCGTTGGAGTCACCATGTTTAACTACTTCATAATGACCCGTCTCAAGATTCACCCGTGAAACTGGTTTGCGTAGTAAATCATTGCCCTTTTTCACAAGATTTTCCAAGTTCTCCTTTGTAGCATTATCAAAAGAAGCTTCCTCCCCTCTTAACTTGTCATCCTGCATGGTTTATTTTGCATAAGTTAATAACCAAATTTATTATAGCATATACAAAGGGCTAGCCCGATGCGGAAAACTCTTGTTATTGTGAGATCTGGGAGGAGGGTCAGTATACGCAGTTTTACCTTTACAAGGCACACGTACACATATTTATAATATTATAGTGGTGAAAGCATAATGTAGTGAATGAATCTTACTTGGATCCTGAGGTAGTTTTCTTTGGAGTGAAAAGATCTAAAAATGACAGAAAGGTGATAATCAACCATATCTGGACCTGCTTCAAAAAACACATCTGGTAATGCATTATTTGTTATCCACTCCCAACACCCCCATTGTGAAACCGTTTCAGCGTCGTATTTATGTTCGTTCTCGGCTGCACCTGTCCCGATTGAGATGACAAGAAATGTACGATAGTCGCAGGGTGCAATTGCCGGAAAATGTTCATTCTTCTCGCGCAACTGTTCTGTCGCCTCACTAATAGCAACAAAAGTCTGGAATTGCATATTAGTATTTAATCAGTAGGTAATATCATGTCATTAATGTTAAGAAGTATTAAATTATTTTTCCAAACTAGTGTTATATTAGTGCATATATATAATATAATACCGGATTATTAGCAACCACACCACCATCAACGAGGTTAAACTCTTTCACTTTCCCTATGTCATCAGAGCTTGTAAAATAATGGGCAGGAAGGAAAAGTGGTGCTGCCGAAGTGCCGATGCATATATCCGCTAGTCGGGCGTTCATCATTGCTGTGTTATTTTTCTACAGAGGAAAATTAATGAGTTATATATTAACACGAATATATGAACAATTAAATTACTATACCTCCTTTCCTTAAGAGAGATTGTCTCCTTATTTTAGGCCGAATCCTCTGTTGTAGAAGTTCTTTGTTGTTGCATTTTTTTAACTCACTTATATCTATTCTCAACATATTTATTTTATGTGTTTCAGCACACGCTACAACACCGCGGATGAGTTACATCAGAGGATTAAGACTCCTTCTCATATATACTAGTAGTTACTTATCAAAACAAAACATATATATATATATATATATATATATATACACACACTAGTAGTTGTTACTTATGGTTCAATAATGTCAAATGTGTCGCTGAATTTTATTATGATTTTAAATGAAAGAGAGAGTAAACCCGAAATGAGCTGAAAATAGTTGGCTGGAGATTCCTGATGTCGAATGTTGGAATGACAACTTTAGTCAAGGTCTGGTGCAACCTTGTGGAGCTTAATTTCGTCTTTAACAGCTTGTGAAGGTACTTCCCATCATATTTAGGTCCAACCACTTGCCGTAACTGATCTATTTTATTACCAATCCAATTACCGACCCATCCGAGCCAATTTCTGTGGTCCAAAATGTAGAACGAAGATTAGTTAGTTAATATATAAGCATCTGAGAAAGATGCCACGTCATGAATGCAGAATGAAACATACATAATTAATATATATATATATATAATCTTCAATTATATATATATATATATATATATGTCCAAGTTTGATTTTATATGTTACCGTTGGGGGAAAATTTCAGGACCATGCTCTTTATAGAAATCCACAATCTCAGCAGCAGAAAATAGAGGTCGTTGATTTTCATTTGGTGCAGTTAACATGGCAGTTATAAGACCACCTGTACTTGTTCCTGCAATCAAATCAAAGTAATCCGCCAGCCTTGCATCCTTACCATCCACCTCCTAATTGAACCACACACACACACATATATATATATCACAATTAATTTAATCTTCAATTACACGAAAAAGTATGAATTCAAAAAAGGGTATAATAATAATAATAATAATAATTGTTCATGGATATCTGAAAGTAGTTTTGGAATTATTAATTATTACCTGAAGTAGTGATTCTAGGCGTGCAAGTATAACTCCGGGGATGACTCCTCTCATGCCTCCACCATCGATGCTAAGAATTGTGATGTACTTTCCATGAACCGGACCTCTAATTTGTCTGCCTGATGTTTTCTCCATTACTGGTTCAAGTTGAGATGATCAAACAATAGTAGCAGTACACACACACACATATATATATAATAAGTGCAAAGAGAGAGAGGACCCTAATGAGTTGAACTTAAAACTGCATTAGTAGTGTTTGTATATATATAGAGGTTGATTGTAGAGTGAGAAAGAAGTGAGAGAGAAAAAGTTGTTAGAGATTTTATTGCGCAGAGAAAGAAAATTTGGGAGAGATACGGGGAAAGATTTGGTAGAGCGAGAGGGGGAATGGTCTCTGTACGTGAACTTTTTTACGTCAAGACACGTCTTGTAATTTGAAGAGAAATAATATAAGAATTGTATAGTGATGATTGTAGAGAGAGAGAGAGAGAGAGAGAGAGAAAGAAGTTTAAGAAAAAGTAAAAGCTGTTAGAGAAAAATACTATGGTAGAAACCGTAGAATGCAAAGGAATTCAACAAAAATAAGACAAAATCTATCATATCCCTTAACCCATCGTCTACTTGATGAATGAGGATAGAAATAATTTTCTAAGTTAAGTTAGTTCAAGAAAAGACATCTGTATTTTAGTTGGAATAGCCATTCTCTTTCACAATTTTTACTAGTTGTACCATCAAAATAATCATTCTCTATTGTGCATTTACGGGAAGGCGTGACCACTTAGCCATTTTATTAATTTTGTGATAAATTGATCATGTTATGAAATTTGATTAATAATATTTAGATAATTTATTTTTTATATAATTTTTGTGACAGTATCAATTGAAATATGTATATTGTATTATTTGTTACATATTTTTTACTATCTTTATAATGTTATGATATATAGGAAAATAATAAGGTGTACAGGCAAATTTTTGGTCTCGAATTTTTAACCTAAAAAATTAAATTATACTTATACGTTCCGACTTTAATCTTCCCGTATTTTACTAACTACAATAGGTCATCCTTTTGATAGCATTAATCATTTGCTTATTATTTTGCTTATATTAAGTACTATTTAATTATTATTATAATAAAAAATTTAGGAAAAATTGCACTCACATCCCCCAAGTTTGGCTTAAAGACAGCTAGTTATAACTTAGACACTGTTTATATAATTACACTCCCATGTTTGATAAATTGAACAGTGACATTCCAAATCATGGTAAAAATACTTTATTGCCTTTTGACTTATTTGAATTATGAATTTGTTATTTTAACTAGTATTTTAATGGACAAATTAACCTTTTCATTCCAAGTCACAAAATCTGAAACTCAAACTTCATTGCTACCATCACCTACAACCACCATTGACGCCTACACCACCCACCGCCGAGAACAAAATAACCTGAAAGGAGCTAAAGATGGTAGGCTGGAGATTGTAGATTTTGAACGTTGGAATAACAACACTAGTCAAGGTCTCATTAAACCGTGTGTTATCCAACTCTTGTCTTATCAGGCCCTAGAGGTTTTTCCTGTCGTATTTAGGTAAACAAAGATGTGTAAGAACGAAAAGAAATAAACAATTGGAGAGATCGATTTTTAGAAAAGGAATAATCTTCGGTAAATATATAAACAAAAGAAATGGGCTCACCATATGTCCAATAGTGTGTCCGTCCTTGCATGTATGTGTCTTTGTATTGTTAGGGTATATGCCATTTTGAATGTATCAAATGGAGGATCTTTACAACTTTTGTTATCAACAAGGATAATAATGTCTTTATATATACTCATTTCAGGTGCAAATTTGGTATTTTAAATATCTATGTTGACAGAAGCAAAAATCTGAATTAACCAAAGTCAATATATAACACTCTGAGGAATCTCTCATTTTTATTTTTCTTCTTTGTTATTTTTTCCTTAATTTTTTTTTTTCTTCCAGATATGTACATTACATTGCCTTGTTTAGGTAAGAAAAATTTCATGTCTATTATGTCCCAAAATAAATTTTTTGGGACAGCCCTTCAATGTAGTTTCTCATTAAAGTCAACTCAACTCTACCCAACTAATATATATACTACTATATATATAGAGTCAAAAATTATCTTTTGCGTATCCGTGAGTATGAAATGTATTCACACCAACCATACTAATTGTTAGCTCAGCCCTCAATGTAGTGTTCATTAAAGTCAACTCAACTCTACCCAGCTAATATATACTACTATATAAATATAGTCAAAAATTATCTGTTGCATATCCGTGAGTATGAAATTTATTCACGACAACCATAATAATTGTTGGATAAGAAATTTACGGTTGGTGTGAATAAATATGCTCTTCCCGAGACATCATTTGTATTTTTTTTTTTTTTTAAAGATAAAAGATAAATTGGATTAAATAAAAGGAAGTACAAACCTAGTGTAACAAGGGTCATTTGTCCCACATCGAAATCGGATGGGAAAGTGATTGGGTATAAATGAGTGGGTATGCAACACTACCCAATAGTTCAAACTTTTTGGTAAATGGGCAAGCGCCCACCCATTACAGTTGGTATCAGAGTCAGACCCAATCCTTGATCCGGTGTCACGCCAAGCACCCGCCTCGAAAGGCGTCCAGGCTAGCATCCCAGGTAGGCAGGGTGGCCCGAACCGCAATGAGGGCGTTGCGAGTTTGGGTGGGGGAGAATGTAACAAGGGTCATTTGTCCCACATCGGAATCGGATGGGAAAGTGATTGGGTATAAATGGGTGGGTATGCAGCACTACCCAATAGTTCGAACTTTTGAGTAAATGGGCAAGCGCCCACCCGTTACACCTAGCCATAGCTAACCGATAGGCCATGCCCAGAATACAAACCAAATTGAAAACAACAGCAGCCCAAATAGGCATAAAACAAAAACAATAATAACCGTTTGCTGCGCCTCAAATTCCGGTAACAGGAGTGAGTCTATGGCGAAATAGCACATAAAGTGCCTGGGGTTTGGTGGTTTTCTTGGTGGTCGAATAATGGATACTGGAACATCCCATTCTGCTGCAATCCTTGAAGAATTAGATGCATCACTGATAGATGAGAGTATGATCTTTGATCTAATGGATTCCAGAGTTTGGTGAAGAAGTGAGTTTGCAGAGATGGATTTCTTTTGAAAAATCCTTCTGTTTCTCTCATTCCATGCGTGGTACACAAGGGCTGCCAAGCTCATTTTAGACAGAGTGTGACTGTGAAAAGCTGAGTATCCCTTCCAATGATGTGCAGCCCAATTAATGAGGTCAGGCTAGGATGATGGTTGGATGTGAAACCCACATCTTGTTTGTAGAAATGTCCACAGGGGCTTGACGAAGGAGCACTGAAAAAATAGGTGGCTGTGGGTTTTAATTCTGTGTTGCAAAAGGTACACAATATGGAATTTATGTGTGTTCTACATCTCCTATTCAAAGTAGGGAGTCTTTGTTAGATTGCCACCCAGAGTATGAAAGAGTGTTTGGGGATAAAGGGTTTGGTCCACATGAGGTGAGTCCAATGTAGGGTCGGGTGATGCTTGTTGAAATGTTTCACGGTGTGTGGAATAGAAAATTGACCATTGGGTGAGGGTATCCAAATGTGGTTGTCACTGCAGCTGGATTGTGGGTTGGGAAGGTTGGTTGTATGCTATAGTTGTGGAATGATGGATAGTATGGAAGGGGGAAAAAACCATAGTTATTGGCAATGAAGGATCCTACCTTTGTGTTGCTGTGATAACCTGAAAGTGAGATCAGTTGTGGAGATGTCAATTGGTGCAAAGGACCAAGATGACACCAATTGTCAAACCAAAAATTAGAGCTTGAACCATCTCCAATTTTTACCCTGATAAGTGGTTTAATTGTATCTCTGAGGTTGAGCAATTTTCTCTAATTCCATGAGCATTGGCCTGGATCTTGACCTCCCAAATACTTCTTCCTTTTAAGAGATATGTGTTGATCCATTTTACCCACGTGTTCTTTGATTTGATTATGTGCCAAAAGTGCTTCATTGTTACACTTTCATTCCATGTATGGAGATTTGGCAATCCAAGACCACCTGCTCTCTTTGGTAAGCAACATTTATCCCAAGCAACCTTTGCTCCAGTTTTCTTCAGAATTGGACCTGTCCAAAGAAAGGCTCCAAAGATGCTTTCAAGCCCTTGTGTAACACTTATTGGAAGTATAAATTTGGAGCTCTAGTACATCTGTGTGGAGAATAAAACAACTTTAATAAGTTGTAATTTGCCTGCAAAGGAAAGGTTCTTGCTGGTCCATTGAGCCATCCTAGCCGTGATCTTGTTAATTAAGACTCTACAATCATTGGCTCGAAGCATGGTTGTCACTAATGGAACTCCTAAGGGTCTTACAGGTAATTCCCCTTTCTTATAACCCAATAGTGAGAGAATGTTAACTTGCAGGCTATCATTCACACAAGAGAAGTAGACATAATTCTTACTATGGTTGATGTGAAGGCTAGAGAGGTTAGAGAATGTATCAATTGCAAACTTCATGGTTTGTAGGGAGGGAATGCTGCCATGAGAGAAGAGGAGAAGGTCATATGCAAAAATCAAGTGTGAGAGGCCAAGTTCCTTGCACCTCTAATGAAATTTAAATGGCCTTTCAGATATTGCTTTTTCCACTATAGAAGAAAAGGCCTGCATAACTAGCACAAACAGAAATAGGGATAGGGGATCCCCTTGTCTAAGACCTTTAATACTTTGAAAATGACTATTAAATTCTCCATTGACAGAGATGGTGAATGAGGGAGTAGATACACATGCATGAATCCATTTCATGAAAGTTTCAGGAAATCAAAACAACTTCATAGTGTCAAAAAGAAAATCCCAGCAAACTGAGTCAAAGGCTTTCTTAATGTCAATTTTGATGGCACATCTTGGGAAAGAAGCATTCATGTGGTAACCATTATGAAGTTCTTGGGCCATAAGGATGTTATCATCAATAATTCTGCCCTGAACAAATGATGACTGAGCAGGACCAACAATATGGGGAAGGATAGGTTTGAGTTTGTTTGCAAGGATTGTGTGGACATACACTTGTATATGGTGGAGCAGCATGAGATTGGTTTGAATGCATTAAGGGTTGATG